TTTCATACGAATGAACTATTGGAAAATATGCATTTCATTTGATTAAATATTATGGTTTCAAGAATAGTGTCAACTCCCTAGGGAGTTGAGAATAAAAAAACTATGCAAGCTGTATGTCGTGCCGTCCACCCTTCCTTGTCCTCATCTGCAACACTTGCACCACTCTTGATCACAAGTGCGGCTACAGATTCATGTTCATTCTGACAAGATATATGTAGTGCCGTCCGTCCGTTCTCATTAACAACTGTAATACTTGCGCCACTCTTGATCAGAAGTGCGGCGACAGATTAGATAATGTATAAACAACATGTAGATCAATCATCAAACCTTTTCAGTCATGGAACTACCCGTATTGACAATGACAGTGTATTCGTATGGATGCATTGTATTGGTATCATGCACAATCTGAAAATACACTCCACCCTGGCAGGTATTTCCACTCCAATTATCCGTACTAATTGCAATTGCCAGGTGGCGGTAGTTCACGTCCCTATATTTTCAGTAAGTAGTTGGTGCGGTATGGGGAACATGTTGAGGTACCCAAAGTCTTAATACACAGTGTGTATCATTTAACTGTATCATTTACCTATACACAAAAGGGGGCAACAACTTTAATATTAACATATACTGTGACGTCAATGAGATGTATTCTTGTTGCAGTGTAGTCTGCACTGTCATTTATCATTTCAGATCCACGGACCAGGCCAAACTACGTAGGTATCATTCATGGTGTCATTGAACATCAGCATATGTCTGTGCACATGAGAATTGAACATGTTGCCATTGGAATCAACATCAATGAGATATATATGAGATATAAGAAGCCTATGTTTGCGCTTTGATATTTGAAGTGATAGGCCAGTTCCGTATCTTTCAGGTTTATTCGTTGAATTAAAAAAAACATACATTCGGATATTTGGAATTGTACACATATATATGGCGCCATCCAAACATTCCTAAAATAATAAAATAATTTGGATAGCTCTCCGTCATTTACACCTGAGATTGAATCATTTTCTGTTATAACTCGCCACCCCAGTGCTGATGGCCATGTAAGACATGCCCATGTATTTGTACGTAAAAGATCCTTTATTTTTTAGTGTTTGGCAGGGTAAGTCGTTGACGCATTGCCGCTCGGAACAATTACTTTGTATTGATAGACTTGCCGAAATCGTTTCGACTTAAGTCATGATTGAATTGATATACTAAACAACATTCAAAGATTAATTAGAAGCACATTAGAGATACACTTTTTTCAACGGTAATTAAGAATATACCCTGGACACGAACAATACCGTGTTAAAACCATTTTCCATTTGATGTTGATGAACATGATTTATGTGGTTTGTGAACAGAAATGAAATGTATCATTTGTACTTTACAGACCCCAGACGATAGGGTACAGGCAATATGTGATACAAACAATATTTGGGCAAGATATAGCGGATTTCGGATTTCGGATTTTCCAATTTCCTACTTAGTAGGTATAGCAGTCACGTGGGTGGGTGTTCAGGAAACTATTCTTGCCTAACATCAAAAGCTTACGTTTAATTCAAACACGCTCTGCGTTGGCGAATATTCATGACATGGATCGATTTCACTTTGGACAGACACACCAATTATTAATCAACGTGTCCCCACTGCAAGTATGGCTCCATCAATACTGTGCTAAAGACATATAACTCCCACTTATTGAAGCAATGATGTGTGGTATGATTAAGTATAATGACTTATGCTGCATAGACACAAGCACAGTAGTTATCTATGACATACATAGAAAATATGGATTGTATGGGTTGTCAAATTCTGGATTGTGGATCCCGTCTGCATCACGTAAACATATCCCCTCAGGGACCAGCTTATCCGTGTCAAAACAATTAGATACAATACTATTATTAATTTCTACCTAATTTAAACTGTTCTACATATTGTGTATCTTTTAACAGGACATGAACACATATTTACTCGTAAACAAACTTTATTTGTTGGGGAAAATACAAATACATACAATATGTGTAAAGATCAGCAAGTCATACACAAATATTTACACGAAAACAATCTTTATTTATGAGACATTAAAATTCTTTGTGGGAAGAAATCATGATTTCTATGTACAAAACACGAAACCCACCTCCTCCACTTAACTTGTAAAGGCATGGCAAGAGTTAGTGCACACCTCTGCTTTGTTCCGCCAATGAAACAGGCAAATGTTCTATGTTGCCGCTTGTTTTCCCAAGAAACCACAGGACAAGGGGTCAGTTATGCCACAAGGTAATCGGTAGATGGGGTAAAGAAGGCCCTCGGGCAACATTCCTAGATTTAGTTAACTGGCACAGATGATGATGCCTGAAGGATGTTGAGAATTTCCTCCCATTCAGTGGTACATCTGCCATTGCATCTCCACAACGCTCTGACAAGGACCAGTCTGGTGGCAGATCTCCCGTTCTTTTCCTTCCACTTGGCAAGCATGTATAAGATCTGCATATAAAGTGAGAAAGGGTGTGCAGCTTTGATTTGCTCTATTATAATGAGAGAATGTCCAAGTTCTGTTCCGAGGACCTCAAACCCGAAACCGATATGTCTTGCCACAAGATTGAGATCTGATCTTGAAACAGGAATCTTTAGTGTTTCCTCGTCAATATCGTATGGCAAGTTGCGGTGTTAACATTCAATGGAATCTTGCATGATCAAATGATTTGAAAAATGCTACATGAGCAGTAACCTCATTTTGAGTATCTTTCGGAACGGCTACAGTGTAGCTTGCATGAAATGTAATATTACCAACGCAGTGTTTCATCTAACAAGTCGAACCAGAAATATATTATTTATAACGAACCTTGTCTGTCTCTCTCTTGAATGTGGTTAACCGGCTCAGTGTCTATTCTCTGTAATGGAAATGTTAACAGTTATCTAACTGTATATATGGAATACTAGATGTACAAAATGTACATATAGATTGTTCAGTATACGTGAGTAGGGTTAAAAGGGTTCATGTTAAAGTAGTGAGTGTGTGTTGGTTAACGTTATTACATTTATATCAAGACATAGGGCACGGGGGCTTCCAGTCGTCTCAGGTGCCGTAATTCGCTGTGCAGAGTTGCGTCCATTGGTTCCTATAGTTCTAGGTTTTGTCAGCGCCGTACCCGTGCTCGTGAGAAACGTTTAAGACTTGCATCATTTCGGGATTTAGTACACGCCGTGATATGACTGGAATACTGTTCAAAGTGGTGTTAACACAATTTACGCACTTAAATTAAGCCTTTATCAATACGTGTCAAGTTGGTGAGGGAGGTAAGCCTGAAGTTATTACCAATATACGCACGAGCACCACACCCAATTCCAATTTTGCCATTGTGGAATTGACCTAATACAGCTTTGGTTATGTAAATATTACACTGTACCTCAAAACAGTAACAGGTAAAGGAAGCAATGGTTATTTAAGAATGTCTTAGACCTACCTGATACCGACATCCAGGCCAACATCGAAGAGTATTTCCAATTTTAAATGTATACACTATGACTGCATCTTCTCCTGATATGGAAAATGTTGATCACTTGTAAAGCTGGAATGAGAATGTGCACCAGCGTACTACATGTACTTATAGCTGTTAGAAAGGAGATTCCCCTTCGACGACGGGGAATATCGCTTTGGACGAGAAATAGTGGATTTCGGATCCCGGATACCAGTCTATGATCTTGGATTTGAGGTGAGGGGAGTAAATTGCATGTGTTGTGAAGGTATAAAAAAGAGTTGGATATTGAATGTAATCGTTTTTCATTAAATTGTCTACTACGCGATTTCATGTTTGCGTACATGAATCATTAGTATGGTTCCTGTCATGTCCATTTTATTCAGTTACTTGTTTTGTTGCTAATCTTAATGATCGGCCGTAGTGTAAGCTTTACTCACGCCAATACCTGTCTTTGAGTACTTAATATGAGTCTGAAGGTCACAGGCCAAGATTGCTACTTTAAACGACAACATTTTAAATACTATCACACATATCATCCTGTCCTGAAATGTTGAAATTTCAGAACAAAAAATGTTGAACAAAATCATTTCAGTTACGCAGCTGTAAGCTGTTATATCATTGACATGTATATTTTTCAACTACAATTTCATGATTGTCCACGCCATCATAAAGCATAATAAACTCGTTTTATAATATATTGGATATAACTAGATATTCACATTTAAGGCTATGATATATTATTTCTTCACATAATACATTTGTTGGTGATATTTATCTTCCTATGCTTCAATTTTTGCAATATTTGCAAACATCACCTGTCGTCAAAGGATTTTGTTAACATCTTTAAAAAAGTAAACATATAAATCTATTTTGTTTTGGTTAGAAAATATCCTATTGTATAAAAATCAAAACGAGTTGCACTTTATTTTGCCTTTTTACCACAGTGCCTGTGACAAATTTCCTCCATTTGAACTGCTCATACAAATACCCACATGCAAAGATATACTTCAATAGTCAATAATTATTCATAAATTACACATAACCATGAAAATAAGAAAGTATTCATAAGCGAACTGTAAGTTGTATTCCGGGTTTGTTCAGCGTTACTATGTCATACATTGCTCCTTTTAACAACTATGTCGGACGACGACGCAATAACACTGCCACCGGAGCACATCGCAAGACAGTTTAAATCAACACAAGTAGGGCAGATAGTAGTGCTCTTATTAACTGTTTCTTAAATACAAGCGATACGTAAAAAACTCTCTGGTGTTTTTCCCACTTCTGGTCGCTGCACACGTTTGGACAACGTACAGCGGACTTCGGATTTCGGATTTTCACATACAAGGCAATGATACGGGGATATCATAGGCATTAAATCCATGAAAATAATGAAACGTTTTACATAAACATGTCTATCTGTATAACAGGGGTTCATGAATCTGAAGCTATACTCGGTTGCCTGACGTCAAATGTCTCCTTGTTTATTCAAACCGTTCTGCTTTCAATTGGGATATGATAATGACATGGATGTGTATAATGTATACTGTGACAGGGCGTTACAGCAGAGCGGTATTCATTGAATGTACCCGTATTACAGGCAGCCAACCGTCATGTCGTATATCAAGTGCCACGCGTCACTGCAGTCCTAGTTTCTCCTTCGTTATGCGTTGTACATAAAGGGGCGCGGACATAGTCACACAGCAGACATTGAGTAGACAGAGCTATGGATAGGGAGGACAGAGAGGTGATAGCTCCGTACTTCACGGGGAAGAACAAGGCACTGAAGCTCACTGAAGTGTTGGAGGTACTGGAGAACCCTGATGACACACGGGCTATAGTAACACCCCCTGCTAAACCCCATGGAGGAGACGGATACTTGTACAGGGTGGAGGCAGACTCGGCGGAAGGTAGGTTAAAGAGTGCATGTCTTGAAGTTTAAACATAAGTAAAAATGCATAATCTGATGAGTATTAATAAAGGGAGCATTACTAATGAAATAAGACAGTATTAATGAAACACTAAATGTGATTATTTGTATTATTTATTGTAATGTGACATGTTGTGGGATGTGGTGTGATGGGGTCGTATGGATGGGTATTGGGAGCAAGTAGCAGGTGTCAATTAGTCAAAGGAGCCACAGACCAGTGAAGATCCGGGGAAGAATTTATAGGTCTTCAGCAACCCCGGTTTGCCGTAAAAGGCGACAACACTTGTAGAAAGAGGCGACTAATGGGATCGGGTGGTCAGGCTCACTGACTTGGTTGATGCATGTCGTCGATCCCAATTGCGTGTATCGATGCTCATGATATCAATCACTGGAATGTCTGGTCCAGACTCGATTATTTACAGACCGCCGTCATACAGCTGGTCTATTACTTGGTGCGGCGTTAAACAAAAAAAACAAAAAAAACAAACAAAAAAACGGAGCGGCAATTAGAAGGTGGGAAGTCATTGTATCTAAAATAGTCGTGGGCTCGAATCTCAGATTGTTCTTTTATGTGATTCTAGGCTTGTAAACGTCGATGACCTATGAAGATCAACGCCACTTTACGCCATTAATCCACTTTACCAAATGTTACTTTACTCATGCTTTAGCCTTCACAATGTAGAGATGAATAGCGACCTACTAGACCCACTGATCCCAATGAAAAATACAAATATAGTTGACTAAACGTTCACATACTAGCATGCTGTGATCGCGATCGTGATATCAGTTACATTTACACACACTTAAGGTTTAAATGTAAACCGCTATTGACACAGTCAGCACGTAACATAGGAATGACAGCTTATCTCTCGCACTTCGTGGCAATGAGCCGGATCTTGCAAGGGAATAAACGTACTCGTGTTACCTGTAATGACAAAAACGTTCCCGACTGCAACTCGTAAATAGCACCCCGATCTGAGGCCACGCAACGCACAACCAAGCTCTTTGTATTGATTCAGGTTGCCGATCAATGCACGTAGCTAGACAGTGATAATGAAAACATTGTACGCTAAATAGCATTGGCAGTTTCTCTTTCCAAACGCTACTTTTGATGCAGAAAAACAAAACAAATAAAGAATTGCACTTAAAGAACATACGAGGCATTTGACTGTCAATGTGTTGATTTTTTGGGACGAAGGCTTTTCAAATATATTCACTAAGAAAGTTTGATTGCATGTGCGGTACTGATCAGGTAGCAGATGCACTGTAAATCCTTTGTACATAATATTTAATTTAAATGTAAACTCACTTACAACTTGTGTCGACTAAGAACCTTTTAAATTTGGATTTAGACTGTTTGCCGTGAACAACGTGACATCCGGGTTGGTCATGGGTAGACACTGACTATAACCTTCACATTGTGTCCTTAATAATATTTCGTTATTGATCATTCTGTTTGATGGGTGGACGTGGATGTTGGCTTGATTCTGTGTTTAAGATATTAAATTATGTTCATTGCAGCAGATACCAACTATAAACCAGAAAACGCTGCATCAACTAACGCGAATTTATAGGGGGGGGGGGGGGGGGGGCAACCTAAGTCTTGTCAGTTATGTCAGTTATTGACATTTGTAACTCATTCCGTCTTGCTCTACAGACTGCTGGAAAAATGACAACTACTACTTCAAGCATAATGGTTCTCGTGAACAGCCAAAACCTGCACCCAAGGTTCTCAAGCAGTACTTCGTGGCTTATAAAAGTGATGGCACCACCACCAAGGCTTTTAAACGACAGGCATACAACTTGCTCGAGGGAGACGTGAAATATATGTTAGTACACTACATTGGGAAATGCACAGTAGCATTATCCGATCCAAAATATGAGAAGCGTTTGAATACATCCCTCCACCATGAATCCCAGATAGTGAACAGTAACGCGAGAATAGCTGGTTCTGGAGATGAAGATGGTGGGGATTGGGAGACCAGGGATATGGAATGTGATCATGATCGTGCAAATACTAACTTTGATACTTTCCTGGCTTCTTTAGATGAAGTTAGCTCAAGGAAAAGGACACATGACCCTGATATGGTAAATCGTGTGAAAGCTCCTAAACGTTCAGAAAACGAACGAGTAATAGAAAACAATTTGATGGACATAACCACCGAATGTGTTAGTCATCAACATGATGAAAGAGCGACCAACCTCAAGTCACTCACCGAATATTTGCTGAACAAACGTACTCATATCGTTATCGCAAGACGTGTGTTGAACCAGACAAAATACTGGGAGAAAAGCACCAGATTTTCTACCTTTGACAGTCCATGTTTATCATTAATCGCTGACATCGACTGTAAATGGAGAAATGACCTCACAGAAGTTAGTGGCAGGTTGAAGTGGTCACGACTTAGCCCGGATGTTCTCGGCGAAGACCAGTGCAAGGAGACGTATCACAGACTGGTATCTGCTGTCATAGTAGGTGCATATCACATGAAGACGGACATCACACAGTTTGTTGACACCCTCTATGTGTACCCATCACATGTGATGAGTGACAACGCCGCGACAGATGACGACGATGGGACGGATCCTCAGATGTGCAAGGTGGGGCCCCACAACATACAGAGGAATCATCTCCTCGATCAAACAGCATGGCTTGGCGATGAGGTAATTTTCACGATTTCGTAGCTTATGTTTTGCTCTTTATGTATTATATAATTTAATTCTGAAAATTCTTTCTAAATGTTTAACATTACTTGGACAAATCAAAGGTACAAAATCGACCAGGACAATCTTCCTTCTCGGTCGTGGTCGGTAGGCCATGTCAAATAATGATATCAGGAATAACATTATTAAAGATGAAAATGGTACAATATTGATAGATGATAAAAAAACATTTGTTCGAATAGTTGAAATTGCTCACAGGCCAAGTGGTATTAACTCGCTCAATCGTTATTTGAGCAGTTAGGATATATGTTGCCATGTTTTTCTAAATTGCTGGTTGTAACACGTGACAAACGGGTTTCGCATACAGTAAACTACGGTTATAACGAACTCAAAGGGATTGCTAATTTTAGTTCGTCATAATGGTAGTTCGTTATAAGCATATATACAGCATAACTACAGCAGATAGTCGGGACCAAAAAAGTAAGTTCGTTATATCCGTCAGTTCGTTATAAGCGTGTTCGTTATAACCGTAGTTTAACCTCCATTGCAGGTGATGAATGCATACATGCATGTCCTGAAGACCACGTGGAATAGGATCCACAGCTGCCACTGCGCTGTACTTGATTCCTTCCTTGTCAACCATTGGGAGAAAGACGAGTATGACGTGCACCCATGCAAGGTATGGACGAGCATAGTCATGTACATTGTTTTAAGGGATGAGTAAAGTACTGGTATTAGGTTTTCGTCCAAAGATGGAAATTAAAGAGACATTTGAAGATCTTCGATTCGGTTATGGATCCTTGTTTAGCATCTAATTTAGGCTCTATGAGATATGAGGTCGGTTTTGGAGACAGTTCATTGAAGGTCTAGAGCAGCAGTTTTCCTTTTTCAAGAATATCATCACTGGACATATATCAACATGCTATGTGCAGTAAACTACGGTTATAACGAGGTTTAATGGCCGCTTTGAACAGTGTTCCAATTATTTCACATCGGTCAGATTAATGAGGGAGGAAAGCAAGAAGTGATGCAGGTTTCAGACATTAACCACTTTAGTTATTGAGTTTGAAATGTTCAATATCATAGCCATTTCAACATAAATATCATACGCATGTATCCAAATCAGAGGGAAGTAATCGTATGGATATGCTAATATCAGTAAACTTGATCAAATGGAAAAGAACTTATTGTAAATAATAATACAGTAGTCTGTAGATAGACATACGTCTATGTTGTTAAAGAGCATCAAAGAATCTTGCTTGATCAGGGTAAAACATTCAAGACCATATTATTTTCCTTTTCACCAAAACCTTTACTGTAAATAAAAGCGACATAACCCTTTCCACATTCTAGCTTGTCCCCCATCTCAGTGGAACTCCTTTTTTAATATAAATGTATGTGCTTTCCTTTTTTGGAGACCAGGCGTTAGTCTGAAAAGCATTAAAATGTTTAGTTTGCATCAGTGACAAACACTATGCAATTCCATGTTTTGACTTTTGTACAATAATTATGTCTCTGTTTCTCGGGCGACCGGTTGACTTGTCTTTGCATGTGTTTGTGACGGGTGCCACCGGTGGACAGAATACGGTCACCTTTTTGCGAACTGGTATTGTCACTATTTGCCAGTGATTTATTAGCACATGCTCGTGATATAGTCGGTATCATTCAAGGTGTTTGTTTTAATTATGGCAATGATTTTGCGGATTTATTGTATATTAGGAGGAACTTGGAACTTACACGTGGATCCTGATGCCAGTGAACATGCCACTGAATCAACACTGGGTGCTTCTGGTCGCCAATGCCCAGGATGGAACAGTGGGCGTGGTCAACTCTAAGCCTGTCCTTGATGTAGGGGACAAACTTATACAACATTGGAGGTAATTTGAGGGCGTGGCCAGCTATATGTAGATATAAACCTTTATCATCCAAAACTGATATCACTTGGGTGAGATCAAGTGATATATATATATACTGTAGATATTGCTGCAACATAAGTGCATCACACTGTTTTGCATCCATAGTGACGTCATTGTTACCATGACGTCACATCATTAGTTACTGAAGCTGTTAGCAATACTTTTTACACTTAAGACACTGCTTATAACTGCTACAAACTGAAACAGCTGGCAGAATGATGTTGGATGATGAATTAAATCTCCCCCTTGTGTCTTTTGATGTCAAATATTTCAACACTCGTTGATATTTTTTACTCTTAAAGACACTCGGGTGAGATTATCTATGAACAACACAGTAAGTGGGTGGGCCGAACAGGTGATGTGGTCAACTCCCAGCCTACAATTGATGAAGACTACTGTGCTGACCAGAGCTGAGGTACACACTGATGAATGTCTGCTACCGATTTTGAAACAAAAGCTGCAATCTGGCTCAGCTACAAACGTGTAGTTAATCAGTCCTAAATGTATAGCGCTGGGTTGTAGGTGGGTTTGAGGCAGCGGAAACAAATATATCTTTTATCTATTTCAGAAAATATACACGCAGTTTGAGGAGAGGTGATGGGTCAGTGGTCACATGGACAAAGACAGAATATCCAGTACTGAGTCAAAGAGATGGACATAGCTGTGGCGTGTTTGTGAATATGGTACGTAAACTAGATGAGAACAAGATATATAAATTTCTTTCATAATTGTATAATATAAATTATAAGAGCAATATACAGCAAAACATGATGGATTGCTACAATTTAATATACAATCTAAATTTCTCAACATTTACTCTTTTCACTAAATATTCTGAAATTCCACCCAGCATAGGAACTATATTACAAATGTCAATCGCATGAGCATGCTTGGGTACTTGCCATTCAAATGTGTCATTGTCAAAACTGAATATTTCTAGTAGTATCTCAACATACCATACCAGTATTGATATACTGATCCGTTTCTACGATATGTGTTCACTTAAATTTCCATAGTACCAACAAGGTTTTAGGATACAGTATGTTTGTATTAAGCACTGACGAGAGGGATCTCTGAAAGGAAAATGACAATTTGGGCTTTTATTTTCTTAGTATAATATATTTCAATGTGTACAATGTATTCTGGCACTCTAAATCGAGATTGGACTTTTTTTGCGTTCATATTCAACGGGATCATGCTGTTGTAAAAAAGTCTCTGAGTGAGTGAGTGAGCGAACTTGGTTTCACGCCACCTTTTGCTATGTTCAAGCAATAGCGCGGCAGGGGACCCTGGAAATGGGCTTCAACATTGTACCCGGGCATTGAACCCGGATCTTCGGCGTGATGAGTGAAAGCTACCCACACCCACTTCACATATTTCACAAGAACATTCTTGTACAGAAATTCGTTATTTGACACTGTTTTGTGCAGTCATTAATTGTGATGTGCAAAGACATTTTTTTAATAGAAACTACGTTCGTGACTTTATTACTAAAATTGTAGAGAAAAAAAGCTCACAACAGTGGTCACTCATTTATGATTTTTTAATTAAAGGTTTACACGATATACGGCTTTTCCACTGAACGAGATGTCGGTCACATGACCGCGAAATTGACCTTCATATTTGTATGAACGACACAATTTGACGTTCATACGTTTTTCACGAGACAGTGTTCTTGACGGACTACTTCCACATTCCTGGGGAAACAAACCCCTGGGAATTCCAAACCACGAAAACATACATAATCGTTCTTTCTGATCATTTAGAACATTTACTCTTGGTCTCAGCGTTTCAGTATACGTTGAGAAATGTCAGAGAGCGTGACTGCATGATTGTTCACGAATATCCTCGCTGCGGCCTATCCTAATGAACAAACGAAGAAATGCACATCTAAACTATCGTAGTATCAACTCACTCCGTGTACATGTCTAGGCTTATATTGACCGTCTCCAGCAATCTATGAATTTACCTTAGTGTCTGAATGACACATTTTTATTCACCTTTCAATGATTGGCCAGTTGATCAATGATGCCTAACACATGTTACCGCCACAGGTTCATTAACAACTTCGGAAATCTCCCCTGTCACGTTTATCGTGTCGGCCATTTTGACGTCTGCTACTTAATGTAAATTTATTACGACGCGCTGTCATTGTGACATACTTACTGAGGTAGTTCTTTACAGACCTTTCTCATTTAATGAGCATATTATTTGAATACATACACTGCGTAAGATGTTTCTGAAGAGCAAGTTGTGCATCCATACGCCCATGTCACCTCTCTTTTTGAGGAACTATTTTACTCCGCGATGTAGCTGGTTGTTGTATGGCTGTCAGTGTAAACATGAAGTCACACGTACTATATAAAATTGTGTTAAGATCTTGGCCTACATCCTTCGAGGTAAGAAATTGTGATAATCTTTTTGTATAAGAATTGACTTTCACTTTGTGTGAGTTCATTGGAGTATGAACCTTCATTGAGCGAGGGCCAAACGTTGTATGAACGTCGTTATTTTTGTCAATTATTCGTCACCAGTGGCTCTATATTGTTACAGGCAGCAGAAGCTGTACTATCGGAGGTGCCTCCCAGTGTCATGAGAAGCTGCCACACTCTCTGGTACAGGAGGTACATCTGGCGCAGGTTGCGAGAATATGCTGATGAACATATACCGCCTGATACTGACACACATAGTGAGTATAAATATTGTTTTCCAAATATAACTCAAAACCAAAATACATACAAAAGACAAAACCCATTCCATATTCATGGTACACAATCAGAGTCGACCATGTCATAGGCTGGTGTTTATGAATCATAACCAAATAGTATGTCCACGACAAGGTGAGCATATCCTGCCAATAGCAATATATATCTCACAACAAAACTAGAATGTCCAAACCCACGTACCACTAGGCGTACTTCTTATGTCAGCAAACTTTGTTATTATTCGTTTCCCGCTAAATCTAGCATTGTCGTACCACGTTTATGTACTGTAAGACGCAAGTTAGGGACAATTCATAAAGCGGTTCAGTTTATATGTTTGCTTAACGCCCCACTCAGCAATATTCCAGCTATATGATGGCGGCCTGTAAATAATCGAGTCTGGACCAGACAATCCAGTGATTGATATCATGAGCATCGATCCACGCAATCGGGATACGATAACATGCATCAACCAAGTCAGCGAGCCTGACCACCCGATCCCGTTACGACAAGCATAGTCGCCTTTTAGAGGCAAACACGGGAAGCTAATATTTGTTACATGTGTTGTGCTGAACTGAATATCAAGCATGTTGATGGTTAGGTTTTTAAGTAATTACATACTACTAAATAACTTTATATATATTAGACAAATTGCATCAGAATGCTTAGAGACATTAACGTGAGTTATTAGATTGACACCAGCTGCTGGCTTGTTTCCAGCAATTCGAAAAACTAAAACCAGTAGCGAATCCACTGCTCCTGAATTAGCTATATTACGCTCGGTCATTCGCCGGTCGGTCATCACCACAACATGGGTTCTCTGGATCAGTTCTGGTGTTGCTGACTTCACAGGCCTTCTAGGCACTCCCTGTTACACTCAAACTCTGCTGCCCAACTCGTTATGTTGGCAAAGAAGGGACATACTTCCCTTCATATTCATTCATTCATATCTTCATTCATATCTTCATGGATGGCTTTTGGCTTTGTTATATAAACCCTTTTTTCTGCAATTCCACTTGACTGCACGTTCCAAAAATTTGTCCATTTTCCAAAGGTCGCAGACCTCTGCTTGTTTTGATTATCTTTGCGCAATTCCTTCTATCAGAGGCTCAGATATCAGTCAACCATCGTTGCTGACACATTGCTGAGAATATTGTCATTCACTCACTCACTTATTATTCACATGCTATTAATGATGCAGTAACGACTGGCATTATTTCCATTGTTGAAGTGAAATATTAAAGCAGGTACAGCGTACATGTTACAGGCTTTATTGAATTTTTGTGTGTGTAATATTTCTTGTTTTTCAAATACGAGTGAAGCCTGGCTAAACTGGACCTCTATATTCGTAATGGGCAAAAACTTAATATTAATATTACTATCACAGGATATTCAACAAATCACGATTTGACAAAAAATAACATAATGTAGAGGGGTTGTATGTCGGTTATGATAAAGGAAGACAATTAAAATATGTTCCTAAATTCCGTGTTTTGACTTAAATATATAATGATTAACAGTGTGTATATTTCATATATATTGCTAAATGATGAATTAACCTGTTTGGTTCTGTATTTGAAAGATTGTTGTCCTTCTTGCAGTGCTTGAGTCTCCATGTGAAAAGCTGACAAATAATCCAGCGTCAACGAATGCCAGAACGTTTGCGTATACAATAGTCAATATGTCGACCAGCATAGATGATACGAGATACAGTTTGCATAAAGCAGCCAGCCTCGGTGATATTAGACGCATGCACTTGTTGATAGACCAGGGGGAGCCTGTAGCAAGTACCGATGACCGAGGATGGACGCCTTTGCACTGTGCCTGTGAAAACGGTCACGTTGAAGCTGTCTCTGATCTGGTTTCCAGGACGACGGGCGACGTACAAAATAGAGCTCAACTTACATTGTACAGTCCTGACTTGGGAACGAAGTATATGTATCTAGCAGGAGCATATCCACTCCACATTGCTTGTTTAAATGGACATAAGAATGTAGCGCACATTTTGATCAATAACGAGGCAAATGTTGACGACCAAAGTGAACATGGAACAACAGCTCTTTTTCTTGCTTCTGCTAACGGACATGAATCTGTAGCCGCACTTCTGATCAAGAATGGTGCAAGTATTACAGCTGAGGAAAAGGACGGATGGACGGCACATCATCTAGCTTGTCAGAATGGACATGAATCTGTAGCCGCACTTCTGATCAAGAATGGTGCAAGTGTTGCAGCAGTAACGACAGATGGAGTGACGGCACTACATCTAGCTTGTCAGAATGGACATGAATCTGTAGCCGCACTTCTGATCAAGAATGGTGCAAGTGTTGCAGCAGTAACGAAAGATGGAGTGACAGCACTACATGTAGCTTGTCAGAATGGACATGAATCTGTAGCCGCACTTCTGATCAAGAGTGGTGCAAGTATTACAGCTGAGAACAAGGACGGATGGACGGCACTACATGTAGCTTGTTATAATGGACATGAATCTGTAGCCGCACTTCTGATCAAGAATGGTGCAAGTATTACAGCTGAGGAAAAGGACGGATGGACGGCACTACATGTAGCTTGTTATAATGGACATGAATCTGTAGCCGCACTTCTGATCAAGAGTGGTGCAAGTATTACAGCTGAGAACAAGGACGGATGGACGGCACTACATGTAGCTTGTTATAATGGACATGAATCTGTAGCCGCACTTCTGATCAAGAATGGTGCAAGTATTACAGCTGAGGAAAAGGACGGATGGACGGCACTACATGTAGCTTGTTATAATGGACATGAATCTGTAGCCGCACTTCTGATCAAGAGTGGTGCAAGTATTACAGCTGAGAAAAAGGACGGATGGACGGCACTACATGTAGCTTGTTATAATGGACATGAATCTGTAGCCGCACTTCTGATCAAGAATGGTGCAAGTATTACAGCTGAGGAAAAGGACGGATGGACGGCACTACATGTAGCTTGTTATAATGGACATGAATCTGTAGCCGCACTTCTGATCAAGAGTGGTGCAAGTATTACAGCTGAGAAAAAGGACGGATGGACGGCACTACATGTAGCTTGTTATACTGGACATGAATCTGTAGCCGCACTTCTGATCAAGAATGGTGCAAGTATTACAGCTGAGGAAAAGGACGGATGGACGGCACTACATGTAGCTTGTTATAATGGACATGAATCTGTAGCCGCACTTCTGATCAAGAATGGTGCAAGTATTACAGCTGAGGAAAAGGACGGATGGACGGCACATCATCTAGCTTGTCAGAATGGACATGAATCTGTAGCCTCACTTCTGATCAAGAATGGTGCAAGTATTACAGCTGAGGAAAAGGACGGATGGACGGCACTACATGTAGCTTGTTATAATGGACATGAATCTGTAGCCGCACTTCTGATCAAGAATGGTGCAAGTATTACAGCTGAGGAAAAGGACGGATGGACGGCACATCATCTAGCTTGTCAGAATGGACATGAATCTGTAGCCGCACTTCTGATCAAGAATGGTGCAAGTGTTACAGCTGAAGACAAGGACGGACGGACGGCACGACATGTAGCTTCTCATAATGGTCATGAATCTGTAGCCTCACTTCTGATCATGAGAGGTGCAAGTATTACAGCTGGGGACAAGGACGGATGGAATCAAGAGAGTGAGTAATAGCCAACTTCAGTACTACTATTACAGTAATAATGCTTCGCAACTTCACAAGAAAGACATGTTGTGCAATTTGTTTACTTTTAGGACTACTTGATAACGGGGATAGGTCATGCATCAACACACCAATATTTAATTTTGTAATTCTAAGTATATTAAGTGCTTACATGTTTATACCAAGTGAGTGAGTTGGAATGTTTAATTGGTATCTATTTCTTTCAGTGTAAAAAAATAATGTACCCTTCTGAATAGTGAAATGTATACCATTGCAAATATTTTAAACATTTGTATTATCACGATAATCACGCGTATCCGATTCATGATAAATGTTACTCGGTTCTCACTATTTCCAGCAACAGTGAAGATGTTTGGAAACTCTCAAACACAGCCAGAGCTACCCTTGGGAGAAAAACCACAAGTTTCGCCTTTTGTCAACATATCCAATGATAATAACAGAATCCAACATACCAATGTGGAAGCAATGCCTTCTAACACACAATCACCGTCTGCTTGGGGGAAAACTAGCTTCAATGTCAAACAGCAAGGAAGAGATCAGTATTGCACAAGACTAGGCCATGGTTATGGTGATACTATAACCTTACAAGCGCCCCTGTGTGTACTGGACAGTCAACCGCCAGGTTGGGTATCTGATATTCCCTTCACACAAAGAAACCCCATCGTGACAAGACCAACGACGGGACCCTTAAACACTGTTCCAATCGAGCCTCCAGGAGGAGTCACCGGCAGTTACAACACACAGATGAAATGTGGCATCCCTACAACGACATATCCCCGAACAATACAAGCTGTTCCTCCATCTGATTTCCTTTCCGCTCTGCAACCGGGTATGAACGCTTCCATGCCAGGACAAGTCATGTCTCCCTTGAATGTTATCTCCATTCAGAATCCGCCTGGAATTTCCACACCTACCAGGGGGTTTGGCAGCCAATTCCTTTGACAGGAACTTCTCAGTCCCTAACGGGGCAGTACCAAGGACAACTGGGAATTCTCTGAACTTTCCATTGTAATTAACAGAAAGCACAATTTGGCTCATGCTTGAAGTATATTTTACACACATGGACAATAACATGTATTACCACAACAACAATGAACTAAATTTTCATTCGTTTTACAATTAATCGTTATGATAATGTTGAACTGTGGTCATGTATTTTGTTTTATAACATTTTTTAACGCCATATGTAGTTGAAAGTTTGTTTTGTAACCATTATGGCACGTGCCAGACCTTACAATCACATTTACTTGTTAAGTACACAGCTAAGACAAAATGGATTTTATTTTTGTTTGTTGTTTTACGCCGCACTCAGCAGTATTCCATCTATATGACGGCGGTCTGTTAATAATCGAATCTGGGCCATACAATCCAGTGATTAACATTATGCGCATCTATCCTGGAGATTGGGATATAACGACACGCATCAACCCAGTCCGCGTACCTGACCACCCGATACCGTTTGCCGTCTTCCTAGAAGAAAGAGTGAGTTGGTTTTTACATCACTTTTAACAGTATCCCAGTTATATCACGGCGTGTCAGCTTCTGTGGGAGGAACGCCAGAAGTGATGCAGGTCTCAGAAGTTTACCACGTCGGCGAAAACCCACGAGCACGGGTATGGTGCTGACAAACCTAGAAACATAATCTGGGCGAACCGGGATTCGAACCCACAATTATAGGTTTCTGGCGTGACCAAGGGACGCAACTCTGCACAGCGAATCGCGGCGCTTTAGACGACTGGGCCAACCGTGCCCCCTAAAATAAAGAAGCTGAACTGGAACACTAATTTGTAATGTCATTAAACACATTTACTGGAATTACGCTTGGAACTGAGAACAATGAAGATTGTCAAGGTTAGACCCCATTAAAATATAACTACCGCTTGGAGACATAGCTAGCATAGGTTTTTGTCAAACACAGAGTTATGAGTTTTAGGTCTTCCTATCATTCATTCAAAAAGCTTTCAAAGTGCGCAAAACTATTTTCAGTCGACTATACATAATATAGACTTTCTGTCACTCTAGGCACTACATCATATCTAGAGCTATATGACAGCAGCACTGATGGCGGTTAATGATGACACACAATCAACTAAGTTACTGAGCCTGACATAAAGACATGTTCAAAATGCAGTTTATGTGCGCTGATATCTTGTGTATATGCCTACCAACATTACCTAGGCGTTCTTCCTAGAGAGATGTGGGCACGGGTGTCGCAGTAGTCTGAGCCACCGCAATTCGCTGTGCAGAGTTACGTCCCTTAAGCATGCTAGAAATCTATGATCGTGGAATCGAATACATCTGTTTCTAAGTTTGTCAGCACCATAACCTGGATCGTGGGTTTCACTAAATTGGTAAACGCCTCAGACCTGAATACTAGTGTCTTTCGTCCTACATACAACTTGAATATTGTTCAAAGTGGTGTCAAACCCAACTCACCGTTTGAAAGGTGTATGGTGGTACGTGGTCCTATGCACTGCGCACAGGTTACAAATCAGGTGAAATTAAGCAACGTCGGTGGCGGAGAGTTTTTGGATGAGTGATTGTTCGGCAGCTTGGCTCCCGAGAGTTTCTAGGGCGTCTGAAGTACGTGTGACACATGTGGCGTCTCCTTGGGCAAATGACTTTGTTCGAGTTGTGCCTCTTTTCACCCAGCAGTGAATGGGTACCCGGTAGGATGAGATGGCAATGTGGTTGTTAACCTTCTAGCGCCTAACAGGCAGCTTTGTTTGTATACTCTCCATGGAGCTGAGAATGATTTTTGAGTGAACACTTTTCAATGTCTAAGCTTAGAGTATTCTTGTGCATGGAGAACAGCGCCATACAAATAACGTGGATTTTATGTCCGCTTTCGGGTTAGATTTATTTATTTGTTGCAAGAAGGTCAAAGGAGTTGCCTACCATGTCAGTTATCGCAACTGGCCTTGTTTCGTGCAAAGAGTTTCATATAAACCATGAAACGTTTACTTAAATACTTGTCTGATTTGTATTACTGTTCAATGATATTAAAATGCTTTGAATAATAAAAAGAAATATTCAGAGAATGTTATTGGTGCCATTCAGCTAAATTACAAAATGTTATTGAGTTACTTGTGTCTAATACCTGAACATGACCTACTTTCAGTTATGTTATCAATGTCAAATATTGAGTTATAGATTCAGTGCCCAAGGGACGCAACTCTGCACAGCGAATCGCGGCGCATCCGTGCCCCCCATTCTTATAGCGCCCAATAATTGCTTTTATCCTACGAGTCATAACTGGTTTTGTAAAACTCACAAAGCAAGTGCATACGTTTAGAAAATAAATACCATGTTGAACATTTATTCTTTTTGGGATATTTTAATTAAAACTTTAAATGTTTATCCGATTCTGTTAAATCATTTCATCTTCTGGGGAGAAGAGGTGGCCTAGTGGTTAAAGCGTCCGTTCGTTCTGGGAGTTCGATTCCCCACATTGGTACATTGTGTGAAACTCAAGGCTGGAATACTAAAAATAAAATTGTGTTCTTTAATCTGATTGGTTGAAAAACATGATTTATATCAATTTGTCTGACTTATAACTGAATTTACTTAAATTAAATTTAAAATGAATAAGTTACCAAGACCAGAACACGCCAGCAGAGACAATATCCGACCCGTGAAGATCCGGTAGAATTAGGTCTTCAGCAACCAATGCCTGACATACATGGCGGCTTTGCTTGTCGTAAGACGCAACTAACGGATCGGGTGGTCAGGCTCGCCGAGTTTGTTGATGCATGTCATCGTTTTGTTTGTTATTTAACGCCGCACACAGCAATATTCCAGCTATTTCGCGGCGTGACAGATTAATGTGGGAGGAAAGTCAAAGTGATGCAGGGCTTAGACGTTTACTACTTCGGTGAAACCCATCATGAGCATCGATCCATGCAATCGTGATCGATGATATGCGACAACCACGTCAGCTAGCCTGACTACCCGATCCCGTTAGTCGATTGTGACAATAACTAGATATTTTTCACCAGTCTATATATAGAATTAAGTGACTCCTGGTGTGCCATTATTCGTTGATTATTAAATGCATCATGTTGAGGCAAAACTACGTACACGATGTAGGGACAGTTACAGCTTTGTCTTAATAAAACGAACGATCGATCAAAACGTGATGGTTATAAGTCTTCTTAATCAATACCTTATTGCAAAAAAATTTTAATTTGAAGTTTATACGATATACGGCTTTTCCATTGGACGAGAGGTCGGTCACATGACCGCGAAATTGACGTTCATTAGTGTTGGAACGACACAATTTGACGTTCATTCTTCCCCGCCCTTAAGGCGGGGAAGTATACGGGAAACGTTAAATTTGTGGCATGTATGTCGACATGTTGGTTTATTTGAAATTTCAAGCCACGCATTTACGGAAACAAAACATACAAATCATGTGCGTCGAATGTTGATGCTATTCTTTTCCAGCAATAAGAGATACTTCAAAATCGTCTTTATGTAGTTAATTGATGCATCTGACCGTTTCTGGTCATTAGCTGACATTATTAAACCATCCATGTGTAATCCGATGTCCTTTTTTCCTCAAGGACTAATTTTCTGATTTTCACGGTGTATACAAAAGAAGAACTGTGCTCCGGAGATAGTACATAACAGCATAATAAAAAATATATCTGAATATTCTTATTCATGAACAACGACGACATCTCAATTTAAATGTAATATGGCTGAATTCCATATTCTACATACCACACTTTTGATTGTTTGGATGCTAATGTTCACTGGAAATATTTGGAAGAGTTATATTCCGTATTTTGAATTAACCCAGTCCCCCGTGTGTGTTTTTTAATCAGTGCACCGCACATAACCACATGTGAAACGTTTGGTAGCAAAGTCAAAGCAAAATCGGAGTAGTGTGTCAGCGAATTTGCATTAAGGCTGTAGTATTTTTCAACCGTTTAATGGAATTTAATGGAATTCAATGTACAGCCGTAGCTCTGGTCATTCATATATTTTGTGTCCCATAGCTCAAATCTATTTGCGTCTGTACCGTGTTCCACTGACCTCGATAATCTGTTGGATGAAGGCACAGCTCTCTACAGCCACAAAGTTAACACCGAAGGCTATGAGGAGTATTTAGGTCATAATCAGTCCCCAGCAGCCACTGCCTCAAGCGATATTGTCTACATAACAGATCAGTTTTATGGTTCCGTCACAGGTGCTCCAAATATTGAAGCAGGGAAAACAAATTTCATAGAATCATTTCAAAAAGCAATATTGATATCCCCGTCACTTTTGGTAACTTTTAATGATGTCTCCATTGCAATTTTTACGGATTTCGATTCGTATGCATTATTTGACTGTCATCAGCGGAATGGTCTTGGTCAGATTGATCCGAATGGACAAGCGGTTTTACTTCTGTTTAGTAGTATGGATGAATTGTCATGTTACATCTTAACAGTATATATATATCAGGCTACTATGCTTGTCGTAAGAGGCGTCTATCCCAATTGCGTGGATCGATGCTCATGATATTAGGCACTGGATTGTCTGGCCCAGACTCGATTATTTACAGACCGCCGTCATATAGCTGGGATATTGCTGATTGCGGCGTTAAACGACAAACCAATCAATCATCATAATATGAACTCAAACCAGTCATTGTTACAAGTAAACCACATTCCACAACAGTTACTGACACTGGATAAAAAATAGTATATAGAAAAAAACCAAGTAACTCAACTCATCATGATCACAATTACTATTCTTTGAAAGAAAGAAATACACAAAAAAACTGACCAAAAAACGTAAAACAAGAGACGAGGAATCTCCGTTATTGATTAGTCCCTGTATTGAAATGTTCTCCAACTACGTGATAATATTTTGAGTATGTGCATCTGTGGTTGTGACAAAAAGACCTTATCTAGTATGACTTTTTTTGCCATATGGAGCCCTTAGTATATTCATTTACATTATTATAACCAAATGCTAAGTGTAAAAAGAATGTGATCTATTTTTTGAGTATGTGCATCTGCCAATGTTGTTGGCAGTTTTGATACTATTTCCTCATGTTTACATTTGTGCCAGAAATTGCTTCCATTTCCTTCGATCTACTTTTTAAATAAAGACCCAGGTAAGAATAGGTCTTCAGCAACCTATGCTTGCCGTAAGAGGCGACGAACAGGATTTGGTAGTCAGGCTCGCCGATTTGGTCGATGCATAACATATTATTCCAAATGCGTAGTTCGATGCTCTTGCATGGTGTCAAACACTGGATGATCTGGTCCAGACTGGATTATTTACAGACCTCCGTCATATGGCTGGAATAATGCTGAGTGCGGCGTTAAACAAGAAACTATTTTTAAATAGACCTACCCTATGCAAATGTATCAACTGTATTGCCCAACACTCAAAATAAATAATATTTTTTTCCACAACAGCGTTGTGTTATTTGTGGTTAATATAATTATGCTCCATCATGCCTTTCAGTAACATCATAATTATGCGTTTGTGAGGCATCACATATGGCGGGGAAGTTTGATGCTCTGCATCAATGTTTTCTTGTACCTTTTTCACGAGACAGTGTTTTTGAAATGACGTAAACACTGACGGACTACTTCCACATTCCTGGGGAAACCCCTGGGAATTCCCTAGCACGAAAACATGCATAAGCGTTCTTTCTGATCATTTAGAACCTTTATTCTTGGTCTCAGCGTTTCAGTATACATTGAGAAATGCCAGAGCGTGACTGTATGATTGTTCACGAATATACTCGCTACGGCCCATCCTAATGAACGAAAGAAGAAATGCACATCTAAACTATTGTAGAATCGACTCGATCCTCACCCAGGCTGACACTGATCGTCTCCGGCAATCTATGAATTTACATTTGTGTCTGTTTGACGCATCTTTATTCACCTTTCAATGATCGGCCAGTTGATCAATGATGACTAACACATGTAACCGCCAGGTTCATTAACAACTTAACATCTCTCCCGTCACGTTTATCGCGTCGGCCATTTTGGCGTCTGCTACTTAATGTAAATTTATTACGACGCACTGTCATTGTGACTGACTTACTGAGGTAATTCTTTACAGACCTTTCTCATCTAATGAGGATATGATTTGAACACATGTGCTGCGTAAGATGTTTCTGAAGAGCAAGTTGTGCATCCATACGCCAATGTCACCTCTTTTTGAGGAACTATTTTACTCCGCGATATAGCTGGTTGTTTGGCTGTCAGTGTAAACATGAAGTCACACGTACTAAATAAAATTGTGTTTAGATCTTGGCCTACATCCTTTGAGGTAAGAAATTGTGATAATTTTTTTTATAAGAATTGACCTTCACTTTGTGTGAGTTCATTGGAGTATGAACCTTCCTAAAGTGAAGGTCAATTCTTAATTGAATGCATTGAATTTCATTTAAAAAATATAAACCACATAGTGACCAAGAATTACATCCATCGGGCACTCACATTAAAAAAAGGGAAGCCAAATTCTTGGGAATAAGTTTTAAAGACCATCTTAATTTCTAGCCATATGTTAAATATCTTAGCAAATGGCTGAAGGAACTGGATTTATCAGGTCGGGGAAAACCCCCAACTGGTGACAATGAACCCAACTGGTGACAATGAACCCAACTGGTGACAATGAACCCAACTGGTGACAATGAACCATGAACCCAACTGGTGACAATGAACCCAACTGGTGACAATGAACCCAACTGGTGACAATGAACCATGAACCCAACTGGTGACAATGAACCATGAACCCAACTGGTGACCATGAACCCAACTGGTGACCATGAACCAAACAGGTGATCATGAACCCAACAGGTGACAATGAATCATGAACCCAACTGGCGACCATGAACCCCACTGGCGACAATGAACCCCACTAGTGACAATGAACCCCACTAGTGACAATGAACCCCACTGGTGACAATGAACCCCACCGGTGACCATGAACCCCACCGGTGACCATGAACCCCACTGGTGACCATGAACCCTACTGGTGACAATGAACCTAACTGAGAATAAACTGGTCCTGTGTGGCTACAAAAACATGCGGTTTTTGTCCGTGCGTTGTCTGTACTACTTGGCGCATGATGGTGGGTATAAAATACATTATGAAAACTTCTTTCATTCGTCGATTCTTACATTACCCCGTTTGTTGCGCAGGTTATTGTGAACCCGAGTACCCCTTCGCCATTTGGACGGTTCATTCGCGTTACGCCGACTTTCAGAAAAAAATTATTCGCGTTACGCGGTTTTTCTTTGATGTGTGCGTGTTATTTTAACACGAGGTTGTTACAAGCACGCAATGAATGGTGTTTTTGGA